CTGTTGCAACAATGAGAAGTACAAGTTGTCATGTCCAAAACAAGCTTTACAACGTCGGTGCGAGGGGGGGGTTGGGGGGGTGGAGAAGGATTGTCATGGGGGGGAGTGGGGAGGCTGGGAAGGGATGTGAAGGGTAAACAAAGGAGGAGGATGCAATGCTTGGTAAGAAATGTACGCATTATCGTGCCCGTATAATTGTAACCCCTCTGTACATTATGTTCACAAATAAAAATAAAAACAACAAAGCTATAGTTTAAAAAAACAAAAAAATCAATGAGCTGTTGAAAAATGAACTTTACAACTTTGGTGCAGGGAGTGGGGGGGTGGCGAGGGGAGGGAGATGCGAAGAGATGGTAAGGGGAAACAAAGGAGGAGACAACATCTAGTTTATATAATTTGCATGTAATTGGTAAAATCCATTCTCTGTCTCTCTCTCTCTCTCTCTCTCTCTCTCTCTCTCTCTGCTTGTTTCTTTCTCTCTTTCTCATTTTCTTTGGGTAGATACAAGGATTTGAATTCAGGGCCTTGTACTTGCTGAAATTGCTTACTCTCCCATTTGAGCCATGCCTACAGCCAGGATTTTTGGTGTCATTTTTTGTTTGATTTAGTATTTATGCCATTCCTGGTGCTTGAACTCAGGGCCTGGGTGCAGTCCCAAACTTTTGTGCTCAAGGATAGCTCTCTGTCATTTGACCTAAATCTTCACTTTCTGCTTTTTTGGCAGTTAATGAGACATAAGAATCTCATAGGGTTTTCTGCTTGTGATGACCTTAAACAACAATCCTAGGAACCCAGCCTCCTGAGTAGCTAAGAATACAGACATGAGCTGCCAGTGCTCAGCTTATGTTGACTTTAGAGATGGAGTCTCTCTGATTGTAATCTGTGATCCTCCTAATCTCAGCCTCCTGAGGAGCTAGGATCATAGGCCTGAGCCACCTTTCCTGGCCCTGGTTTGCATTTCCATGGGTCAGGAGTCATGTCTGTACTACCATTTCTGGTTCAGTTATTTGAGTCTTCTGGTTTTTTGTTTCCCAATCAAAGTAAAACTTTTTCCCATTTCTTCTGTCTTTTCAAGCATCCAACATCATCATCCTGACTACCCGCACTGATGCGTGGGTCTGCTGGAACCTTTTGTGTGACACTCTTTCTGTGCTAGATAGATTTGTAAATCTTACCCAGCAAGACCTGGGAAAGAATTGGAGGTTATGCTCTTTCATGTTAATGGTGCAGATCTGATATAGAAGAGCCTTTTGTCACCTTTGGTTAAAATAACTTGGTTGGGCCTAGTCCTCACTGAGAAATCAATGGGGAATGAAGTAAGGATGCTAGGGTGAATGTTTGCCATGTTGGCCATGCTGTGGATTGGGAATTTGTTTTAGCTGGAGCCATTTTGTGCTCATGGAGTACGAAGTTTCAATCCTACCTCTCTGGTGATGGGCATGCCTGAATTCCTAGAGGCAGGGACAGTGATTTGACAATAGATTACTGGACCCATGAGTCCTGTGTCTTGAACTTAGGAGAGTCTCAAGTTTCCATGACCCTGCCTCTTGCACCTGCCCCTTTTTAGTGCCTGACCAGACCAGGCACCATAAAACTGTGACTCATGTGCTGTGCCTCCTGTGTTTCTTGGCTTCTTGCTCTTCTGCTATTGCCATGGTATACCATTTCAGGTCTCCATTGGGGTTGTTCTCGTTTGTTGGTATTGTTGTTTTCTGCTCTTTCTTTCCTCTCCTGCTCTCCTGACTCAGTTTTCTGACAGTGTTAAGTATATTCAAGGTATTGCAGTTCTTTGTGACAGGCGTCCACCTGCAGTCTCTGGCTCACCAATAAAGACTTCTGATTTGACTTCTCAAAATGTGGCCTCTCTGTTTATTGAGACTGAGATACATTACAACATGCTGATCAATGTAATAAATGGAAATAACTAAGCTTTAAAATAAAGTTCAATATTTGTCAAAAACAATGTGTTAGTATTTGTTTTTTTTAACATAGGTTCCTGAAAAAAATAACTTCATATGTATTTATACCCAGCATCATGAGATTAAGAATAGTATAGAAATATCTTTCACATGAAATAGGGGTATTTCAGAGATCTGAAGACATCCACCATGTGTGCATGGACTAGGAAACACAGTGGCAGGTCAAGCAGTAATCCTGTCACTGCTGGTTCCTAAGAGTAATGTGGGACGAGCCAGAATTCCATCTTTGTTCTAAAAGTATGACAGATTCCATGTGAGGCCCAACCTCATGTACAATATCAGAAGGTCTACTTAGAGATGATTCAGTTGATATTCAACCAATATGTTGTATGCATTTGACAAAAATATATTCACAAGTTTTCATTTTATTAAATTACTAGAAACGATTCCTACTATGCACATAATTTTAATGTGTTGATTCAAATGTAGGTAAACAACTCTGTGTGTGTCTGCAAGAAACAGAGATAGAGACAGAGAGAGAGAGAGAGAGAGAGAGAGAGAGAGAGACACGGGGGGAAGAGGATAAGAATCTTCGGGACTTTTCTCCCCAGGTGGGCTTCAAACCACAATCTTCAGATTTCAGACTCCTGCCAGTTTGGACTACAGTCTTGAGCTACAGGCATTCATCTTTTTTCTTTCTTTCTTTTTTTTCCAGTCATGGGACTTGACCTCTGGGCCAGAGGGCTGTCCTTCAGCTCTTCAGCTCAAGGCTAGCACTCTAAGACTTGAGCCACAGCGCCACTTTGGTTTTCTGGTGGTTTCTTGCAGATAAGAGTTTCTCAGCATTTCCTGCCAGGCTGGATTTGAACAATTATCCTCATAAGACATCCTCCTAAGTAGTTACGATTACAGGCATAATTTGCCAGCACCCAGCTATTTTTTAACCTTAATGATCTGCTAAGGGAAGACATTACATAATGGAGATAATAGAAAAATACATTTCAAATTCACCAAAATGATTTGCTCAGTTTCAAACTCTTATATAATGGATTTCCTTTTCCTCTACTCACTTCTAATGAGATCATCCTCAAAAGTTCCCCAGTATTCCCTGGACTTCCCTAACCATGGGTCACTTCTGTTGTAAATAGTTGTGGAAGTTCAGTGATACTCATCAGTGTCCACAATTCTCCAGTGTTTATCACAGGGAAGCTCTGTTTGCCACACACAGTGTGACCACACTTCCAGGTGACATGAAAATCATGCCCACAGAAGAGATTAGATCACACAGTCTTGAGCCTTTATCTTGTGGCTCCATGGCTAAGCACACATGCTGTGACCACTGCCTCTGCTCCTCTGTCCTGACAGCCAATTCCTACTGGGTAAGCAGCTATTCTTCTCAGGTAAGTGACAGTAGTAAATGGAACTCATCAATAAAATGTAGGAGTAAGTTCTCTGTAAAATGTGTGTGCTGTGTGGGGTTAGAATGAGGAACATGTCCTGAATTTTAGGAAAAATATGAGAGCCTCAGGCCTCTCTCATGCCTAGGTTAAGTATTGGTGCAGTGCCACATCCCTTCGTATGCTGGGGACCACACAGGTTTGTGTGCTCAGGGTTACAGCATTCTCTGCTGAAATGATCTAATTCAGCCACGAACTTTGTTGTCATGAGTAATGTCCCAATGTGATATCTCCCTACATTTAAAGCAATTGCATATTATTTGATGATAGACATTGGAAGAGATTTTGCAAAAGAAGATATTGTGACCTGATGTGTTATGATATGAATGTATGAAGCTAGAAGACTTTAATTAAATATTTTTTGGCTTGTCATTCCCATTCCAGCCAATTTCCTCAGTGTGTTCTCTTTTCCTCTGTCTTCTCTCATATTTCCCTGCAACTTATTTAAGAATTTTTTTGTCAGCGGGGGGACTTGACCTCAGAGCCTGGGTGCTGTCCCTTATCTTTCTCTAAGGTACAGTGTTCCACAATTAGCTACACAGCATTGCTTCTAGGTTTCCTGGTAGTTATTTGGAGATGAGTCTGGACTTTCCTCCCTGGGTTGGCTCCACACCTCCGACCTGACATCTTAGGCTCCAGAGTTGTTAAGATAACAGCATGGGCCTCCAATGTACAGCTTCGCTTGTTCTTTTTCAGATGAAAACTTTTGACCTGATACTCTATTTCATGGGTAAATTTATCTATGTAGGTGAGTAGAAAGCACTTCATCCCATCCTTTCTGCATCTTTGAGAACTGTTTATGATCAGAGAGATGGAGAGTGTTCTTCTCCCTGAGTCACTGAAGAGGCTGGAGCATTCAGAAATCACAGCCATGTGGGATGTGCAGGGTAAGAGATAGAACTCAGGGCCTCAGTGTCTTGCTAAGTTTTTCAGTCAAGGCTGCTCTTTTATCACTTGAGACACACGTCTACTTCTGCCTTTTGTGGGTTAATTGTGGATAAAATGTCTTGTGGATTTTTGTGCTCAGGCTGGCTTTAAACTGTCATCCTCAGCTCTCAGCCTCCTGCATTGCTAGGATTACTGGTACCCCACTTGGACAGCTTTTTTTGCCAAGGATCTTGAACTAAGGCCTGGGTGCAATGTGAAGCCTACTGCTCTACCACTTTCAGCAAAAGCACTGCTTCTGATTTTGAGTGGTTATTTGAAGATAAGAATGTCATGGGAATATTCTGGCTGAGCTGGCTTCGTCTAAACCATAATTCTCAGATCTAGAATCACGATGATCAGATATCAGCCTCCTGAGTTGCTAGGATTAAAGATCTGAGTCACCAGTGCCCACTAGCTAGCGTGGTCATAGTTATTTCTTTGTTTTCACTGTATTTTTTGTCTCACAATAAAATGAGTTCTTTCCTAACTCAAACCAACATGGAGATGGGGGTTGTCTTCCTCACTCAGACTGCAACTAGGATCCTGGGGAACTCCTCTCTTTTTTGCTTTTATAGTTACACCCTCCTCACTGGACAGAAGATAAGGCCCATAGACGCTATCTGCCACTATCTGGTCTTTGCCAACAACTTGGTTATTTTATCCAGGGGAATCCCTCAGACAATGGCAGGATTTGGATGGAAGTACTTCCTGGATGAGTCTGGATGTAAAGTTGTTTTGTATTTCCACAGAGTAGCCAGAGGGGTTTCTCTTAATGCCACCTGCCTTCTGAGTGGCTTCCAGGTCTCAAAGCTTTGCACTAGAAATGCTTGGTGGGATATGTCTGTTGTTCCCTTTTCTGGATCCTGCAGCTCCTTGTAAGTGTGTAAGTGTCTCTGAGAGTGATTGCCCAAGACACAAAATGTCCCTGTATACATGCATTATAGATACTGCACCACAGGCCCACCACAACCCTTTACAACTTCATTACAGGTAGCCTTATTCTCTTCCATTGATGTTATGTGATTGGTTTTCATGATGTGGATCAGTGGCTCCATGGTCCTTGTTCTGCACAGTCACAAGGAGAGGGTCCAGCACATTCACAGCCTCATTCCCTCCTGAAGACCTGATCACCAGGCCAGGGTTATATGCACCATCTTGACCCTGGTGGACATGTTTGTCTTCTTCTACTTGTCTCTCTGCCATTTTTGCTGTTTGATTTAGTTCACATAGGAAGCCAGTCCTGTTGGGTCTTTGTCCAAAGGATGGGGTCCAGGGAAAGATAAGTGCGCAGCTTGCCCATTCCCCAGCTTCCCTTAGCCTTGAAGACAATCAGACGCAGCAGGGAGTCAAGTCAAGCAGGAACTCATTTATTACCACAAAGCAAGCACTTTTTAGAGTGAAAGACTGCATGGCATGGGAGGGGAGGAAAAGGAACCAACCAATCACTGTAAACGTCATACCCTATCATGTGCCTAAGCTTCCACTAGCTGTTCATGCACTGAACGTAAAGAAATCAGGCTCTGCCCACTCAACTCCCTCTCAGCGCCATTTTTGCTACCCGTGTGCCCTGCACAGTCCCGTGGCTCATAGGCTGTTTTCCTGGATGTGTGCTTCTCAGTTCTGAGCCCCTTTGTGCTCATCAGCAGAGACAGTAGCGTTATTCAGGTGTTTATTTCTGCACTAAAAAATGAATTTCCTAATTTGGTTAAACCATACCTTACATCAGATTTTACAGTTGGATCAAAATTAGTTTTGGCAGCACTGGGGTTTATACTCTGCTCTGCACTGCTAGAGTAGGGGATTGATTACTGGAGACATGCTCTAGTTCTTTCTCAGTCTAGTTATTTTTGAGATATAGCCTTGCTTTGTAACCTACTAGATGTTTCCTGAAGTACCTGGGATGACAGATGTGAACCAAGATATTGAGGTGGTTTTTGGTTGAAATGGAATTTTTCACCCAGTCTTACCTATAACTGCAACCATAACAATCTCATCCTCCCACATGAATGGAATGAAAGGTTAACACCACCACACCCAGCTAGCAGTTGAGATGGAATCTTATGAACTGTTTACCTGGGCTGGCCTTGAACCTGAATCCTTCTGTTTCAACCTCACGGAGGAGACACTGCATAGATCATGGCTCAGTTTTTTTTATTACATTATTACCATGATTATTATTATGCCATTTATGGGGATTGAACTCAGGACCTTGGTGCTATCTCTGGGCTGTTTTGCTCAAGACTAATATTCTACCATTTTGAGCCACAGCTCTACTTCTGGTTTTCCGGTGGTTTGGGGAGGGATATAGTCTCTCAAGCTTTCTTGCCTGGGTTTTCTTTAAAGCCCAGTCCTCAAATCTCAACCTCTTTTGCTCAAGACTAATATTCTACCATTTTGAGCCACTGCTCTACTTCTGGTTTTCCAGTGGTTCATTGGAGATAGTCTCCTAAGCTTTCTTTCCTGGGTTTTCTTTGAAGCCCAGTCCTCAGCTCTCAACCTCCTGAGTAGCTAGGATAACAGGTGTGAGCCACCAGCACCTGGCAGATGTTTTTTATTTATCATTATTTAACGATTATATAATAAAAGGTATTCTATAAGAATCCGTGTGAAATGGACAATAGCGAGTCAGGAGAGTATCTCAGCAGTGAAGCACTTGCCTACACAGAACCACAATAAAATAAAGATATATGAAAATTTCAATGCAGTTTTTGAGTCCTAATGATATTTTATTTTAGTTCACTAAGCAAATGAAGAATAAGGAAAGGCATTATTGGTGTCATCTTAGCAGTAATAGAGGAATCAGAAGATGAATCTTTTCCCCCTACTATACAGGAATTATGCTTAATTTTTCTTCATTACCTAATGAACTGTGTTGCACAACTTTAATGTTTGTAAACATGAAACTTGGAAATAAAGTTCGATATTAAGCACAAAACAAAGTGTTATTGGATGTTGTTTTTTCATTTGGATACCTGAAAACCTTAACTTGAAACATACTTAGATCCAGCATCTTCAGTAAGAAGAGTAGTCTAGAAAGGTCTCTCCTGTGGATCACGGGGATTTCAGAAATCTGAAGACATCCACCATGTTTGACCTGGACCAGGGGATATGGTGACAGATCAAGCAGTAAATTTGTGTCACTGCTGGTTCCTAAATGTAGTGCAGGACCAGCCCAGAATTCCATCTTTGTCCTAAAAGTAGGACAAACTCAGCGTGAGGCCTAACCTCATGCACAATATCAGCAGTCATCATAAATATGATTTAGTTGATGTTCAATGAAAATGTAGTATGCATTTGACAAGAAAATTCCAAGTTATTTTTTTCAATTAGTAAAAACTGTTCTTAAAATACACATCCTTTCATGTGGTGATACAAATGTAGGTCAATAAACTCTGTGTGTGTGTCTGTGTGTGTGTGTGTGTGTGTATCTGTGGGCTTTTCTGTGTTGGGTGGCTTTATTCTAGAGATGCAATCTTTCTTTTTCTATTTTTTAATTTAATTTAATTTTATTTGTGAACATACTGTACAGAGGGGTTACAATTACATGAGCAGGATAATGCGTACATTTCTTACCAAGCATTGCAGCCTCCTCCTTTGGTTTTCCCTTCACATCCCTTCCCAGTTTCTTTTTCTTATTAGTATTTCTTGAGTCATTTTTTCTTTTCCTGGGGCTTGAACTCAGGGCCTGGATGCTGTCCCTGAGCTTCTATGGCTCAAAGCTCGCCCTCTACCACTTGAGCCACAGTGCCTCCTCCAACCTTTTCTGAGTTGTTTCTTGGCGAGAAGACTGTCACAGACCTTCCTGCCAGGGCTGGCTTCGAACTGTGATTCACATATCTCAGCCTTCTGAGTACCTGGGAGTACAGCCATCAGCACCCATCCTTCTTCAGTCAATTATGACAAGAGTAGTGTTCCTGGAAACTTGAATGCTTTCCATCTAATTTATGTCATTTAGAATCCGTTTTCTCTCTGTCTTCTCTCCTTGTCCCAGGACTTGAATTCAGAGCCCTATGCTTGGTAAACTTGTTCAGTGAACCACTTAAGCCATGCTTCCAGCCCAAGTTTTGTTGATTTTATGTCAGTCCTGGGTTTGAAGTTGGGGCCTGGGTGCTATGCCTGAGCTTTTCTGCTCAAGGTTAGCTCTCTACCATCTGAGCAGCAGCTATACTTCCAGCTTTGTTGGTAGTTAATCAGAGATGAGAATCTCACAGGCTTTTCTTCCTGGGCTGGCTTCAAACATTGATCCTCAGACCTCAGCCTCCTGAGCTGCTAACATTACAGACATGACCCACTGTTGCCCGGCTTGTTGGCTTTTTTGGAAATGGAGTCTTGTGGACTTTGTGCTTGTTCTAGTTTTAATCTGTGATCCTCCTAATCTCAGCCTCCTGAGGAGCTAGGATCATAGGCCTGAGCCACCTTTCCTGGCTCTGATTTGCACTTCCAGATGTCAAGAATCATGTGTGCACTTCCATTTCTGGCTCTGTAATTTATGTCTTCTGTTTTTTTGTTACCAAACTAAGTAAAATTTCTGTCCATATCCTTGGTTTTTTTCAAACATCCAACATTTGGTTTCATTGATTTTTATTTCTATTGTTCTGTCTTCATCTTGCATTCATAGTTATAATCTTCATTGTTTCCATATTGTGTTTACCTTGCTATTATTTTCTTGCTCTATATGGAATGATGATAGGTAGAGACCTTTTGTCCTTCCTTTTGTAATGATAGGATATAAGTTATACATTTCCCTCGCAGCACAATTCTGGTTTCTAGTTTCATCTATGGATGCTCCCTAGTTTTAGGTGATATGATCATGCTGTGTTCAGAGTAGGACATATCTATATTCTCTGTATCTCAGAAGGTAAATAAGGCTGGAATAAGTGAGTATATAAAAAGCCTGTGAAGGTATCAATGAAGATATTGGGGAAACATGAAAAAGACTGCTGTAAAACATGTCTGTCAGCCTTGATTATTTGTTTATTCATCAGGCATAGCACTTCAACTTGGGATATAGGTTTTTTTAATATGTTGTTATTGTAAAAATACTGTACAGAGGGGTTAGAGTTGCATGACTAAGTTAATGACTTTTTTTTTACACCTATTAAGGCTTGAACTCAGGGCCAGGGCACTGTCCCTGAGGGTGATTTTTTTTTCTCAAGGTAATGCTCTACCACTTGAGCCACAATGGCACTTCCATCTTTTTCTGAGTGGTTTATTGGAGGTAAGAGTTTCATCTATTTTTCTGCCTATGCTGCCTTTGAACTGCAATCCTCAGATCTCAGACTTCTCAGTAACTAGGATTACAGGCATGAGCCACAGATACCTGGCTTTTTGTTAATTCATGGTGCATTGCTATGGAATAAATTGTATCTTGGAGACAAAGGGGAAAAATACAAATTCACCAAAGCCATTTGTTCAGTGTCATACACGTACACAATAGATTTCCTTTTCTTCTACTCACTTCTAATGAGATGTCTTCAAAAGTTCCCCATATTCCCTGGAATTCCCTCACCGTGGGTCACATCCATTAGAAATGGTCATGAAAGTTCAGTGGTGCTCATCAGTATCCACAGTTCTCCACTTTTTATCACAAGAAAGCTCTGTTCCCCATGCAATACTGTCACCACACTTCCAGGTGACATGATGAGCAGGCCCACAAAGGGGATGATATCACACAGTCCTGAGCCTTTATCTAGGGGCTCCATGGCTGAGCACATATGCTGTGTCCACTGTCTCTGCTCCTCTGTCCTGACAGCCAATTCCTACTGGGTAAGCAGCTATTCTTCTCAGGCAAGTGACAGTAGTAAAGGTAACTCATCAAGAAAATACAGAAGTAACTTCTCTGTAAAATGTGTGTGTTGTGTGGGGTTAGAATAAGGCAAATGTTTTGTACTTTAGTAAAAAATGTATGGTGAAAGTCACAGGCCTCTCTCCTGCCTCGGTTAGCAGTATTGATGCAGCTCCACATCCCTTTTTATCCAGGACACCACAAAACTCTGTGTGCTCAGGGGCAGAGCATTCATTCTCTGCTGAAATAATCTAATACACCTCTGTATACTTTTTGTCATGAGTAATGTCTCAAAATGATTTACACTTACATTTAAAGTAATCACATATGATTTGAAGATATACATTGGAAGAGATTTGCCAAGGAATAATCTGTGACAAGACAATTTATGATATGAATATTGGAGGCCTTGGCTTGTCATTCCAATTCCAACCAATTTCCTCAGTTTGTTTCTTCTCCCTCTGTCTTCTCTCTCATTGTTCTTGCACTCATCTTACTTATTACTTTGTTAGTCTTGGAGCTTGTATGCAGGACCTGGGCTCTGTCCATGAGCCATTTTGCTCAAGCCTAGTGCTCTACCATTTGAGACACAATGCCTCTTCAGTGTTCCTGGTGGTTACTGGCAAATAAGTGTCTCCTGGGCTTTCCTGCCTAGACACTTTTTACACCAATGGTGCCTTCAAACTTCAATCCACAGGTCTGTCTTTTGAGTTACAAGGATTAAAGGGATGAGTGCCTAATTTAGGAAATTCTTTTCCAAATGAAAACTTTTAACCAGAAACTATTTCATGGGCAAATTCGTCTATATACATGAGTAGGAGGCACTTAATATATGCTTTTCTACATCCTTGAGAATTGTTTAGGAGCAGAGACAATGAGAGTCCTGGTGGGCCATGAGTCACTGAAGAGCCTGGAGCATTCAAACACCACAGTGCTATTGGATGTGCTGTTGAAAGCCTTGAACTGAGGGCCTTCAGCTCTTGCTTAGTCTTTCACTCAAGGCTGCTGTTCTATCACTTGAGACACACTTCCACTTCTGGCTTTGGGTGGTTAATTGTAGTTAAAAATTCCTGTTGATCCAGGCACTAGTGGCTAAGGCCTCTAATCCTCGCTACTCAAGAGACTGAGATCTGAGGATCACGGTTCAAAGCAGGCCAGAGCAGGAAAGGTCATGAAACTCTCATATCCCATATATCATCAGCAAACTGGAAGTGCCACTGTGGCTCAATCGGTAGAGTGCTTGCCTTGAGCTGAAGAGCTGAGGATAGCTCCCAGGCCCATACTTCAAGCCCCACAACCGACCAAAAAATATCTTTTGGATTTGTCTGCACAGGCTGGCTTCACACTGTAATCCTCAGTTCTCACTCATCCTTCTGAGTGGCTAGCATTACAGGCATCAGCCAGCAGCACATGATTCTTTTGATTTCTTTTTTCTAAATGCTAGAATAAATTCAGACTATATTTTTCACTAATAAAGTAAAAAGATATATTCTTTACAAATTGAAGTTTGTTTGTGCAATACATTTTTTTCTCAGTCTAATGTATGTCTTTTTATTTAATTCTAATGTGGATACATTAAGACATTGTCCTTTTCTTTCCATATTTCTTATACTTAAGTGTTGTTTTACAAAATTTTAACTATTTTTATCTGACATTATGTCCATTATCATAAGAAATATTGTTCCCTGTCAGGCTCACACCTGTAATCCTAGCTGCTCAGAAGACTGAGATCTGAGGGTCCTGTTTCAAAGCTAGCCAGGGCAGGCTTCTCTTAATGTCACCTGCTTCTGAATGCCTTCTAGGTCTCAAAGCTTTGCACTAGAAATGCTTGTTGGAAGATCACTTCTACATTCCCCAAGTGCTTTGGATTCTGTGGTTCCCTTTCCTGGATTCTGCAGCTCCTGCTAAATGTTTCTGTACCTTTGAGAGTGACTGGCCCAAGACACAAACAAAGTGTCACTCTGCACATGCATTATAGATACTGTTCCACAGGAGCAACCCCACCCAAACCATTTGTACGTTTATCACAGATAGTCATATTCTTTTCAATTGATGTTATGTGTTTGGTTTTTATGATGTGGGCCAGTGGCTCCATGGTTCTTGTCCTGCACAGACACAAGCAGAGGACCCAGCACAGTCACAGCTGCATTTCTTCCTGAAGACCTGAACATGAGGCCAGGGCCACACACACCATCCTGACGTTATTGAGCATTTTCATCTCCTTCTATGGCCTCTATGCCATTTTCAGTTTGGTTTGGTCTCCTTAGGAAGCCAGAACTGTGCCTAGTGGACACGTCAGTGTTCCTGGGTACATGTTTCTCAGTACACAGATCTATGTGCTCATCAGTAGAGACACATGTGCTACTCAGGTATTTTATGCCTGCATTAAAAAAATTTCCCTAATTTGGTTAAAAGGTAGTTTTGTTTTTATAGCACTGACTCAGATTTAGACTTTAATCTCTGCACTCATTAGATGAGGTGCTCTACTACTAGAAGTGAGCTCCAGTTCTTTTTCATTCTGGTTATTTTTGAGATATTGCCTTGCTATTATTCAGGTCAGCCTGAACCCCAGTATTCCCATTATGAGTTTCCCAAGGTGTCTGAGATGAAAGAAGTGAACCAAGATTTAAGATTTCTTTGATGATATAGAGTCTTAGAAATTTTTTTGCCCAAGCTTCCCTATAACATCAGACATCCCAATCTCAGCCTCCCACATCATTGGGATGACAGGTATATACCACCACACCAAGATAGTACTTAAGATGGGGTCTTATTAACTGTTACTTGGGCTGAATCCTTCTGATTCAACCTTACAGTCGTGAGCCACTGAATCCATCTTATATCAATCTTTCATTTAAATTATTATTATTGTTGTTATTATTATTATTACTGTTAGTCGTTTTGTTGATGAGCATGAACTCAGGTCCTTGGAGATATCTACGAAATCTTTTGCTGAAGACTTGCATGGTACTCGTTTCAGCCACAGCTTCACTTCCAGTTTTCCGATGGGTAATTGGAGATGAGACTCTCAGATTTTCCTGCCTGGGTTGTCTTTGAACCACAGTCCTCATATCTCAGCCTCCTGAGTAGCCAGGATTACTGAAATGAGCCACCAGCAACCCACATAAATGTCTCTTTTTAAAATTATTAAATGAGGGGCTGGGATTGTGGCTTAGTGGTAGAGTGCTTGCCTGGCATGCATTAAGCCCTGGCTTCTATTCCTCAGAACCCCATAAACAGAAAAAGCTGGAAGTAGTGCTGTGGTTCAAATAGTAGGGTGATATCCTTTAGCAAAAAGAGGCTCAGGAAGAGTGCCACATGTGGGGTTTAAGCCCTAGAACCCACAAATTATTAAATGAGTATGGAACACAAGATATTTTAAAAGAATCTGTGTGGAATTGACCAAAAGTGCATCATGGAGTATCTTAGTATTGAAGTTCCTGCGTACTGGAGACCTTGAGTTTGTTGCCTGAACCTCAATTAAAATAAAGTTAATGAATATTTCTATGCAGGTATTGTGTCCTAAAGATTTTCTTTCTTTCTTTTTTTATTGTGAAAATAATGTACAGATGGGTTACAATTACATGGGAAAGATAATGAGTACATTTCTTATCAAGCATTGTAGCCTCCTCCATGTTTCTCCTTCCCACCCAATCCTCCCATCGCCACCCCACCCAACCATCCCCCCCACCAAAGTTGTAAAGTTCGTTTTTGACATAACTACTGGTATGTCTCATTGTTGCAATGGGTCCACCTGTATCCCTATTTAAACCATTTGTTTTTTCCTTTCCCCTCCACAAATTATAACAACCTCAAATACAGTGAAAACAGGGGTTATACCGTGGGGGAGGGACATACAAAGCAACAAAGAAATAATCTTATAAATGTGTTAGAAACCATCGCATGAAAGAAAAAATCATTTGAATACATATGTTAGGGTTCATTTCCCTAACATCACCTTATCTGACCTTTCCTGCTTGACTCATGCATATACTAGTTATTGCAAATAAGGGAAAACATGGGACCTGTGTTTCTTTGGGCCTGGTTTACTTCACTTTATATAATTTTTTCCAAGTCTTTCCATTTCCTAACACATGGGGCAATGTCATTCTTTCTGATGGAGGCATAGAAGTCCATAGGTATATATCACATTTTCTTGATCCATTCATCTACTGAGGGACATCTGGGTTGGTTCCATATCTTAGCTATGGTAAATAATGCTGCAATAAACATAGTCGTGCTGGTAGCTTTAGTATGGTCTTGTTTGTGAACATTTGGGTAAATGCCCAAAAGTGGGATTGCTGGGTCATAGGGGAGCTCTATGTGGAGTCTTTTGAGTAACCTCCATACTACTTTCCAAAGTGGTTGAACAAGTTTACACTCACCAACAATGAAGTAAGATTCCCTTCTGTCCACATCCCCTCCAGCATCTGTTGTTATTAGAGTTCTTGATTATAGCCATTCTAACTGAGGTGAGGTGGTATCTCAATGTTGTTTTGATTTGCATTTCTTTTATGGCAACAGAGGTTGAGCATTTCTTCATGTGTCCATTGGCCATCCTTCTTTCCTCTTCAGAGAAGTTTCTCTGTAAGTCTTTAGCCCAGTTTTTTTTTTTTTGGTCCGGTCGTGGGGCCTGAACTCTGGGCCTGAGTGCTGTCCCTCAGCTCTTCAGCTCAAGGCTAGTGCTCTACCATTTGAGCCACAGCACCACTTCTGGATTTTCTCTTTTTGCTTATGTGGTGCTGAGGAATCGAACTCAGGGCCTCAGGCATGCAAGGCAAGCACTGTACCACTGAGCCAACTTCCCAGCTCTTTAGCCCACTTATTTATTGGGCAGTTGTTTCTTTTAAGATTTGTTGTTGGGTTGTTGGGGGAATTTAATTTTTTGAGTTCCAAGTATATTTTAGATATGAGACCCTTGTATGTTGTATGGCTAGTGAAGATCTTCTCCCAATCAGTGGGCTTTCTATTGATCTTTCTAGCTATGACCTTTGCCATGCAGAAGCTCTGCAATTTCATGCAATCCCATTTGCTCAACCTTTCTTTGATTTGTTGTGTTTCTGGGGCTCTATTAAGAAAATTTTGGTCTATGCCAAGAAGACCTAGGGTTTCTCCTATTCCATCCTGTAATGTTTTCAGAGTGTCTGCTTTCAATCTGAGGTCTTTGATCCATTTGGAGTTGATTCTAGTGCAGGGTGATATATAAGAATCTAGCTTTAGTTTTCTAGAAGTAGTTGACCAATTTTGACAGCACCGTTTACTGACAAGGCTGTATTCCTTCCATTCTATTTTTTTAGCTCCTTTATCCAAGATTAGTTGGCTATAAGTCTGTAGGTTCATTTCTGGGTTTTCAATTCTATTCCATTGGTCCTGAGGTCTGTTCTTTTGCCAGTACCAAGCTGTTTGGATTACTATGGCTTTACAGTAGAGTTTGAAATTTGGTATTGATATCCCTCCTACACTGTTCTTTCTGTTGAGGATCATTTTTGCTATTCGGGGTCTTTTATTGTTCCATATGGATTTTTGGATTGCCTCTTCTATTTGCTTGAAGAATGAGGTTGGAATATTGATAGGTATCACATTGAATTTGTAGATAGCCTTGGGAAGTATGGCCATTTTCATGATGTTGATCTTTCCAATTCATGAGCATGGGAGTTTTTGATAATTTCTAAGTTCTGTTTTGATTTTCTTTTTCAAGGTTTTAAAGTTTTCATCATAGAGGTCCTTCACTTCTTTGGTTAAGTTAATTCCTAGGTATTTTATGTTTTGTGGTGCTATTAGGAATGGAATTGCTTTCCTGATTTCAGCCACACTTTTCTCATTGTTGACATACAGAAAAGCCATTGATTTTGGGAGGTTAATTTTATACCCTGCTACTTTGCCAAAGTTTTGAATCAGCTTGAGTAATTTGGGAGTGGAGTCTATGGGATTCTTTAAATACAAGATCATGTCATCTGCAAAGAGGGAGAGTTTTACTTCTTCTTTCCTTATTTTGATCCACTTTATGTTCGCATCTTGTCTTATTGCTGTAGCTAGGCATTGTAATACTAGATTGAAGAGCAGTGGAGAGGGTGGACATCCTTCTCTCGTTCCTGAGTTAAGGGGAAATGGCTTTAGTTTTTCACCATTGAGTATGATGCTGGCTGTAGGTTTGTCATATGCAGCCTTTATTGTACTGAGGAATGTTCCATGGATTCCTAATTTTTCCAGAACCTTCATCATAAAGGGGTGTTGGATCTTGTCAAGTGTTTTCTTCTGCATCTATTCAGATAACCATGTGGTTCTTATCCTTGCTCTTGTTGATGTGATGAATTATATTAATTGATTTGCGTATATTGGACCAGCTTTGCATCCCTGAAATGAATCCTGTTTGATCGTGGTGTATGATTTTTTGGATGAATTGCTGAAGTCGATTGGCCAAAATTTTGTTGAGAAATTTTGCATCGATATTCATGAAAAAAAAAATGGATCTATAGTTCTCTTTATTTGATGAGTCCCTACCTGGTTTTGGGATGAGGGTTATGATGGCTTTATAGAATGAGCTCAGTAGTGAACTTTCTCTTTCAATTTCATTGAAGAGTTGGAGCAGTATTGATGTGAGCTCTGCTTTGAAGGCCTTATAGAATTCCACTGTAAAGGCATCTGGTCCTGGGCTTTTCTTAGATAGGAAATCTCTTTTTTTGGGGGGGGTCCGGTAGTGGGGCCTGAACTCTGGGCCTGGGCGCTGTCCCTCAGCTCTTCAGCTCAAGGCTAGCACTCTACCACTTGAGCCACAGCGCCACTTCCGGCTTTTTTTTCTTTTTGCTTATGTGGTGCTGAGGAATCGAACCCATGCAAGGCAAGTGACCTACCACTGAGCCACCTTCCCAGCCCTTAGATGGGAAATCTCTTATTGCTGTTTCTATTTCAATGTTTGATATGGGCCTGTTAAGATGGTTTAACTCATCTAGGTTTAGTTTCGGCATGCCAAGTTCTCAAACTTATTAGCATAAACTTTTGAAAAGTATTCTCTTATAATGTTCTGAATGTTGGTTGTTTCTGCGGTGATGTTTCCATTCTCATCTCTGAGTTTATTTATTTGGGTGTGTTCTCTTCTTTTTCTGATAAGATTTGCTAAGAGTCTGTCAATTTTGTTTATTTTTTCGAAGAACCAACTCTTTGTTTTGTTGATTCTTTTTTTTTTTGGCAGGGGGTGGGGTTCGGTCATGGGGCCTGAACCCAGGATCTGGGCACTGTCCATCAGCTCTTCAGCTCAAGGCTAGTGGTCTACCACTTGAGCCACAGCGCCACTTATGGCTTTTTTCTTTTTGTTTATGTGGTGCTGAGGAATCGAACCCAGGGCCTCCAGCATGCAAGGCAAGCGCTCTAACACTGAGCCCCTTGTTGATTCTGAGCCCCTTGTTGATTCTTTCTATGGTTTTTTGGATTCTAATTCATTTAATTCTGATTTAACTTTAATTATTTCTCTCCGTCTACTGGATAGGGGTTTATATTGTTGCTCTTTTTCAAGGAGGCTCAGATGTCTCATTAAATTGTTGGTTTCAGATCTCTCCAATTTGTTGATGTAGGAACTCAGAGCTATAAACTTGCCCTTGATTACTGTCTTTGCTGTGTCCCAAAGGAGCTGGTAATTTGTGTGTTCATTTTTGTTGAATATGATGAACATTTGAATTTACTTTCTAATCTCTTCCATAATACACTTGTGATTCAGCAGTATGTTGTTCAGACTCCATTGTTACAGGACTTTCTTTGGTGGCTTTTGGTGTTGAGTTCTAATTTTATTCCCTTGTGTTCTGAGAGAATGCAAGGTATAACTTCAATGTTTCTGAATTTGGACAAGCTTGCTTTGTGACCTAAAATGTGGTCTATTTTGGAAAATGTTCCATGTGCTGCTGAGAAAAACATGTATTCTGATGCTGCTGAGTGAAATACTCGGTAGATGTCTGTAAAATCTAGTTGATCTAAGCAATGTTTAGATGTGTGGTTTCTCTGTTGAGTTTTTGCCGAGTTGATCTATCTAGTGGGGAAAGTGGTGTATTAAAATTCCCAACAATTAATGTCTTTGGATCTATGTGGGATTTGAGGGAAAGTAGTGTTTCTTGGATGAATTTGGGTGCTGCATTGTTTGGTGAATAGATATTTAGGATTGTAATATCCTCTTGAAGGAAAGATCCCTTAATTAGTATGTAGCGACCTTCTTTTCTTTTCTCACTAATTTTAATTTGAAGTCTACTTTATCTGATAGTAGGATTGCAACTCCTGCCATGCAATTGGGGTCCAGTTGCTTGGTAGATTTTGTTCCAGCCTTTCACATTCAAAATATGTTTTTTTTTTTATGGGCAAGATGTGACTCCTGAAGGCAGCAGATAGAAGGATCTTGCTTTTTAATCCAACTAAACAGTCTATGTCGCTTAATTGGAGAGTTAATTCCATTAATGTTGAGAGATAGGACTGAGAGGTATTTGGGAGTTCCTGCCATTTTATCCATCTTCTTGGGGGCTGTGGCAACTGGGTTCTTCCTAAGGTTCTTGGATTCGCAGTTTGGGTGAGGTTTCTTGGCCTTTATTGTGGTCTTGTTGGTTTTCTATTTGTAGGACATTTTTAAGAATCTTTTGTCGGGCTGGTTTGGTGGAGATATATTGTTTCAATTTTTCTTTGCTATGGAAACTTTTTATTTGACCTTCGGTTATGAAGGAGAGTTTAGCTGGGTACAGTATTCTTGGTTGATCGTTGTTTGTCTTTAAGGCATCATTCCAGGCTCTTCTTGTTTGATTGTCTCTGCTGAGAAATCTGAGGTGATTCTAGTTGGTTTCCCTTTATTAGTGATTGACCTTTTCTCCTTGACAGCTTCAAGGATCTTTTCCTTGGTCTGAATTGGTCCTGTTTGGATTATAATGTGACAGTGGGATGTCCTATTGTGGTCTGGTCTATTTGGTGTTCTAAAAGCTTCTTGTATCTGAATAGGCCTATCTTTTTGCGTGTTTGGGAAGTTCTCTGCTAGGATCCTGTTAAACAAATTTCCTAGACCATTAACTTTTCTTTCTAGGTGCTCTTCTACACCCATTATCCTTAGATTAGGCCTTCTGATGGTGTCTTCCAAGTGTTGAAGAGATTTATCATATTTCTTGGATTTGTCTTGGATGGTTGTATGTTCTTTCTCTATAATATCTATGCTGTCTTCAATCCCCAAGATTCGATCTACTGAATGGTCTAATTTATTATGAAAATTTTCTACTTTGTTTTTTTTTTGTATCTTTTCTTCTAGTTGGTCAGCTTTGATGGCTTCAAATTCTTTGTTGGAGCTTTTTTTAAGAGCTTATATGAACTTCTTTACTTCCTTAATTTGGTGTTCAGTTTTTATTCTCAAATCACTTAGTTGATTGGTTATGGTTTCCTTGGACCCCCATTCCTTCTGTTGGGTTCCATTCAGCATTCCCTTTGTGGTCTCCCTGACTTCTTTCAGCTCTCTGTTTATGGATTCCATGAATGCCTTTAGTGATTTTTCTTTATTCTCATCCTGCTCTCTCAATTCCTGTATTAATCTTTGATTAGCTTCTTCACCTTCATGGAGTTCCTGTAGTTCCCTTTGAGTGTTCTCAGCCTTCTCACGCCATTCCTGACATTCTCTTTAACTGATCTCAGCCTGCTCATGCCATTCCTTTATTTCTCTTTGAGTGTTCTCAAGCTTCTCATGCAATTCCTGTATCAATCTTTGAGTAACTTCCCCACGCTCATGATATTCCTGTATTAAACTTTGTTTTGCCTCCTCTCTCTCTCTATCATGCTCATACAGAGTCCTTTGCAGGTTTTCAATCTTTTCATTTACCATGTTTACCAGTAGTGTTTGTAGAGCCTTTTGGAACTCTCCTCTGGATTATTCATCATCTTTTCTGTCCCCTGAGTATCATGAGTGGGAGAAGACATACCTGGACTTGCCATTTTTCTTGTGTTTTTCTGGGTTGCTCTGCCTATTTGGGATGAAAGTAACACCAGTTTTATGCTAGCACACTATTTTAAGGCAAGCATCAACCAATGTATGTAGTTGCACAGTCAAAAGTCTGCAGATAGAATCTAGTTTAACAGATATATCTATTCAACATCAAACAACTATTTATTAATGGGCTACAAACTGCAAAGAATAATTTGGCAAACCAGAAATTATTAGGTTCAGGGAGAGATGTTGGTAAAAATAGGCATAGAGGGATGTGGAAAGACAGTGGGAGAGTTAACTTAACTAAATCCTAATCTCAAAGCTGGAAATAGGTTGGATAGAATGATAGTAGAGCCATACAACAGACAAGTGTGTCATATCTATAATATACTTGGAACTCAAAAAATTAAATCCCCCAACAACAAATACTCAAAGAAACAACTGCTCAATAAATAAGTGGGCTAAAGACTTAAAGAGAAACTTCTCTGAAGAAGAAAGAAGGATGGCCAATAGACACATGAAAAAATGCTCAACCTCTCTTGCCATAAAAGAAATGCAAATCAAAACAACATTGAGATACCACCTCACCCCATTTAGAATGGCAAAAATCAAGAACTCTAATAACAACAGATGCTGGAGGGGATGTGGACAGGAGGGAACCTTACTTCATTGTTGGTGGGAGTGCAAACTTGTTCAACCACTTTGGAAAGTAGTACGGAAGTCCCTCAAAAGACTCCACATAGAGCTCCCCTATGACCCAGCAGTCCCACTTTTAGGCATTTACCAAAATGTTCACAAACAAGACCACACTAAAACTACCAGCACAACTATGTTTATTGCAGCATTATTTACCATAGCAGATGAATGGATCAAGAAAATGTGGTATATATACACAATGGAATTCTATGCCTCCATCAGAAAGAATGACATTGTCCCATTTGTTAGGAAATGGAAAGACTTGGAAAAAATTATATTAAGTGAAGTAAGCCAAGCCCGAAAGAAACATAGGTCCCATTATTTCCCTTATTTGCAATATCTAGTATATGTATGAGTCAAGCAGAAAAGGTCGGATAAGGTGATGTTAGGAAAATGAACCCTAAGATATGTATTTTAAATGTTTTTTTCTTTCATGTATTTTTTCTAATGCAATTATAAGATTATTTCTTTGTTGCTTTCACTGTATTTGATGTCGGTATAATTTGTGGAGGGGAAGGGGAAAAACAAGTCGTTTAAATAAGGATACAGGTGGATCTGTTGCAACAATGAGAAGTACAAGTTGTCATGTTGAAAACGAGCTTTACAATGTTGGTGCGGGGGAAGGATTGGATGGAAGGGGCTGGAGGATTGGAAGGGATGGGAAGGGTAAACAAAGGAGGAGGCTACAATGCTTGATAAGAAATGTACTCACTCTCTTGCCCATGTAATTGTAACCCCTCTGTACAGTATTTTCACAATAAAAAAAGAATGATAGTAAAGAGAGAAGAAAAAAAGAAGAAAGAGCAAGAAAAAAGACAATAAAAATAGAAAAACATAATTAAAAATTAAAAAGTGCAACACTTATAAATAATGCAAACATGAAAATGTAATTTTCAGAGAAGAACGTGGATAAAATAAGGAAGGGGAGGGATAGAAAGGAGATGTGAAAAACTTTAAAATAAAAATGCTTAAAATATTTTAAAGGTATAAAGAGGTAGTACTGCTATTTAGGAACTTAAGTCTAAGAGGTTTTATATTGAGTAATAAATTTCTGGATTAAGTAGGTACAAGATGGGGGTTAAGGTCTAATATTCGACTACGGGTATATCTGAGAATGAATTGAACAGCAATTAAATCATGCAAAGAAGAATGAAAGAGAAGAAAAAGTAAAAAGAATGAGAAGGAAAGAAAAAAAGAATCAAATGGTTCATAGAGCTAAACAAAATAAATTTTTTAAAGAAAAAAGTGTACCGCTAAAATAAAAAATATAAGAGGAAGAAAAAAAGTTAATAGAAAACAAATTTTTGAAGTTAAAAAATTAAAAATTTTTAGAAAAAAATTTTATAAAAGGTACAAAAAATGAATTCTTTGATATTTTTTGGTAGGGATGGGAAGATCCTGTATCTCCCTTCTGTCTGTATCCAGTCTCTTAGTGGAGTTTCTGGTCTGGTTGTGGTGTTTGATTTTCCTGTGGCTTGGATGGTTTCTGAAGTCAGTTTGTTTGAGAAGGCAGAAAAAAGCTCTGCTTTACCCAGGAGTTTGTGATCTTCCTCCCAACTACAGAGGGAGATTTGCTTTGAGTATCACAAAAGAGGGAGATGGCTGTTTCCTCTAGTTTGGAGATGCTGTGAGGATAGGTTCTGGGTAGAGTTGAGGCCTTTCAGCAAACAGTAGCTTTTCCCTGAGGAGCTAGCTTCTGAGATACTCACAGAGCCCAGCCTGGAGCCATTCTCAGGGGTTATGTTTACTGAATTTCAATTGATTGTCAAGGCTGCTGTAGGGAGGGGCAGCCTCTGGCTCTGTTTACCCAGTGAAGAAAGCCCCTCCTGGGGCTGGCAGCCCAAGCTGGGTGACTTTTCCCTGGGGGGAGCAGAGCTGAGCCTGGCAGGTCAGGTTAGGTTTCTGTGACCTGCTGAATGACTCTTGTTTTCTTCCTGCTCAGCCAGGCCTTTGTCATTATCAAAGATGGAGATCTCCGGTAGTGGGGGGAGGGGAGCGGTGGCCTTCCCTCCTCTTCTCCCTGAGAAGGAGTGAGGATGTCAGGGTTCTACTCACACCACTGGAGTCTTGGTTTCCGGGTTAACTCTGGTCTGTGATCTGCAGGGTGATGATATCTGATCCTTGTCAGTTCTTGCTGGTGTTGAGTAGAATTTGCTCGCCTACTCCATCTGGTGACTTTGTCCCAGACTCTCTGTGTTGCAAGTATGGTGGCTACAGCCACTGTTGCCGCTGCTGCCCCTGCCGCTGCAGCTATGGCTGTTGGCAAGTTCTCATATCTGTCTCCTTGCCTGGATTTTCCCTCTCTGGCCTAACTTTCTGTACTGTGATGGCACACTTGGTGTGATTCTCTGGCTTAGGACTGTTCACTGGAACACTACAACTGCTTTCTATGCAAGAGCTTGTTTAGCCTCCAGCTTCTCCTCCGATATCTTCCCGGAACTCCTAATGATTTTTTACTGTTAGTTCATTAAGCAAATAAAGAATAAGGAAAGGCACAACTGCTGTCTAATTCACAGTAACAGAGATACTGGAAGATGAATCATTTCTCCCTACTTTACAAGACTTAAACTCAAAATTTCTTTATTAACTAATGTATTTTGCGAAGTAAATGCGTGGAAATATTAAACTTGGAAATAAAGTTCAATATTTAGCACAAAAAGGTTTTATTACTTATTGGTGTTTCAGATGGGTACCTGAAATCATACCAACTTCAAACATATTTGGATGCAGTATCTTGAGGCAAAAAAAGAGTAGTCTAGAAAGATCTGTGATGTGGAACATGGGGATTTCAGAGATCTGAAGATGGCCACCATTTTTGATCTGGATCATAGACATGGTGGCAGGTTAAGCAGTAAACCTGTCTACCTGCTGGTTCCTAAACATAATGAGGGCTCAGTCCAGAATTCCATCTTTGTCCTAAAAGTATGACCGACACTGTGTGAGGCCAAACCTCATGCACAATATCAGCAGGTCTACCTAAAGATGATTTAGTTGATGTCCACCTAAAATACAGTATGCATTTGAGAAAAAAAGTTTCACTAGTTTTAATTTTATTAAATTACTTTAAATTGTGTCTACACTATACATCATTTCATTGTGGTGAATCAAATGTTGGTAAACAACTCTGCATGAGTGTGAGTGTGTTTGTGTGATTTTCTGTGTTGGGTGGCTTTATACTAGAGATGTAATCTCTCTCCTTCTTGTAGATATTCATATTTACTGTTACTTTGTCGTTTGTTTTTTAAAACCATCATTGTGCTTGAATGCAGAGCCTGGGCTCTGTCCCTGAGCCTCTCTGTGCTTAAGGCTAGTATTCTACAATTTGAGCCATAGTGCCATTTTAAGCCTTTTCTGTTTATTTGGTACTCAGGATTGAATCCAGGGCCCCATGCATTCTAGGCAAACACTCTACTACTAAGCAACATTCCCAGTCCCTACTGATATTTCTCTATTCAATTTGGGTTTTGTTTTCTTTTTGCTGGTCTGGGGGCCTGGAAGATGACCTTGAGTTTCTTAGGAGCAAGCATAGTTCATTACCACTTAAGCCACAGCACCACTTCCAGCCTTTTCTCAAGAGCTTACTGGACATCACATTCTCACACTTTCCTGTCATTGGTGGCTTTAAACTGAGATTCTTAAATCTTAGTCTCCTGAGTAGCTGGGATGAGAGACATGAGCCACTAGCACCCACCTAGTATGATGTTTTGGGGATGGAGTCTCATGAGGTTCTGTGCCTGTTCTGGTTTTATATGGTCCTCCTAATCTCATCTTCCAGAAGATCTAGAAGTACAGGTTTAGCCACCCTTGCCTGGGTCTATTTTGCACTTCTACAGGTTAGGAATAACAATTAGCACCCATTTCTGATTCTGTAATTTCAGTCCTCCATTTCATTCGTTTGCCAATCTAAGTAAAGTTTGGTCCCATTTTTGTATCTTTTCAGTCATTGATGATTTTGTTTTCTATTACTTCATCTTGCATTTATATTTATGTGCTTCTTCTTGTCTTCATATTATGTTTACCATGCCAGTCTTTTCCTTGCTCTGTGAGGAGTGATGAGATGTGAGGAAGTTTTGGTCTTACCTTTTGTAACACATGTGTATAAGTTATGTCCCTTAGAATTATGGGAAGTGACTGTGCTGTGTTCAGAGGGAGACATCATCAAGATTTCTATAATCTCTGTACTTTTGAAAGTCAAAATGGTTACAATAAGTGTACATGTGCAAATGTTATGAAGATACTGGGGTAACATTAAAAATCCTGTTGTGAAACATGTTTCTGAGCCTTGATTATTTAAACATTTTTAACCAGCACATTTTGTAGTCTTTTAATTGTCCAGTCCTACTGCTCAAACTGAGACCCTGGGCACTGTCCCTGACCCCTTTCCACTAGGCTAGTGCTGTATCCCTGGAGCCACAGGACTGCTTATGGCCTTCTCTGAGTAGTTTTGTAATGACCCACAAGTGGGAAAATAATCCACAGAGGCACCATCAAAGTGACACAGGAGTTTATTGGTTGGTCTACAACCCTATCTTGGCTTGCCTCAGAAACAGGAGGAGCTTCAGCCTCCAAGGGAGAAAGTTGGTTTTCCTTTTTCCTCCTTCCCACAGGCTTCTCTGCTCTCCACGGGCCTCCTGATTCTTCATAGGCCTATCCCCAGGCCTCTCAGTCCTACGTGGGCCTCTCTTCCTGGGCCTTTCTGCTGGCCTGTGCTCCCCTCAGGCCGGCCCTGGTCTCCTCCTCAGGCTGGCCCATGTCTCTTCAGCAGGACAGTCCTGGTCTCCTCTGGCTTGAAGCTCCAGGAAGTGAATGTCTCCTGCACGTCTCTTTGCTGTCCCCCTTCTTTCTCTATCCCCGTCTCTGAACTCCACAACCTCCTGAGTTCCACGACCTCCTATATCTGGTGCTCCCCCAAGCCACCCTCTGATGTCCCACTCCAGCAGTCTAGCAGCTTGGCAGTGATGTCAGCATGGGCAGGACTTCAGCTCTGTGGCTTCTTGCAGTCATTGGGGAAGCCAGCCTCACAGACATTTCTGCCTGAGCTGGATTAAAACAGCCTCAGTTCTCAGCCTCCTGAGCTGCTGGGATCACACAGGATTGAGACAAAGAAACCCATTTTTATTTTTAATGTAGTGTTTCACTAAAGACAAATTGCATGGTGAATATGAATGTAAAAAGTCCCTAAAAATTCACCAAATAAAAGTTCTGGGTGTCACACACTCTTAAACCATAGATTTCCTGTTCCTGTACTCATTTCTAATGAGATCATCTTCAAGTTTCTCCATATTCCCTGGACTTCCCTCACCGTGGGTCACATATGTTGGAAGTTCAGTGGAGGTCATCAGTATCCACAATTCTCCAGTGTTTGTCATGGGGAAGCTCTGTTCCCCATGCACACAGTGTCATCACAATTCCAGGTGACATGATGAGCATGTACACAGAGGAAATGAGATCACACAGTTCTGAGCCATTATCTTGGGGCTCTGTGGCTGAGCACACTTGCTGTGACCACAGCTTCTGTAGGCCTAGGGCTTGAACTCAGGGCTTAGGCACTGTTTCTGAGCTTCTTTTTTGACTGGTTAGTGCTCTATCACTTCAGCCACAGTGCCACTTCTGCCCCTTTCTCTGTAATGTATTAGAGAAAAGTCTTAGGGACATTTTCTGGCCAGGCTGCCTTCTAACTGTGATTCTCTGCTCTGAGCCTCAAAGTGGCAAAGATTACAGGCATCTGCCACCAGCACCAGGCTTCTTTGGATGTCTTAATTATTTTGAATTGCTAGACTTGAAATGTGATACTGTAATAAGATGTTTCTTTTATAAATGGAACTTTGTGCACTACATGTGTTCCCATCTCAGTCTGCTATATGTATCTGCTGCTATTTAATTCTGGTGTGAATGCATTAAGACATTGTGCTTTTCATAACCAAGTGTTGTTTTACAAAATTTTAACTGTAATCATCTAAGATAATCTGGTTTATTGTAAGAAATAATGTTGCTTGTCATGCTCAGTACTGTAACCACAGCTATTCAAGAGGCTGAATTTGAAGTTCCAGGGTCAAAGCCAGCCTAGCAGAAAAGTGCATGAGCCTATTATCTCCAATCCGCTACCAAAACCAGAAGTGGAGCTGTGGCTTGAAGTGAAAAAGCACTAGACGAGCAAAATGAGCTCAGGAACAGCAGCAATGCCGCAATATTGACAAAAATAGAAAAAGAAAAAAGAAATAATGGTTCTATAAGCAAAATGTTAGTTGACAGCTACCTCACATGCATGAGACCCTGGGTTTGAATCCTCAGTACCACAAAAGCAGAAAAAGCTGGAAGTGACAATGTGGTTCAAGTGGATGAACGCTCCCCTTGAGCTGAAGTACTATGGGGCAGCGCCCAGGCAAGGAATTCAAGCCCTATGACAGAAACAAAAAAAAATGTTGGTAATGTCTCTGTATTCTGTCAAATATTTGTGTGTATCACTAATCATGCTATTAATTAATAATATTTCATGGAATTCTTTTCTTTTTTTCTATTGGTTCTTGGGCTTAGCCTAAGGGTATTGGAGCTGTGCATGAGCCTCTTTTTGCTCAAGACTAGTGTTCTACCTCGTGAGCCACAGTGTCACTTCTGGTGTATGAGTGGTTAATTGGAGATGAGAGTCTCATGGGGACTTTTCTGCCTGAACTGGCTTCAAACTGCAGTGCTCATGCAGCTGGCTTGGCTAACATGTTCATCCTTGTTTTGTTTTCATGCTATTTTTTGTGTCACAATAAAATCCATGATTTCCTAGATATGGAAGAGATGGCCGAAGCTGACATTGAAATGGGGGTTGCTTTCCTCACTCAGACTGCAGCTGGGATCCCGGGGAACTCCTGTCTCCTTTGTTTTTACAGCTACCCCCTCCTTAATGGACAGAAGGAGAAGCCCACAGACAGCATTCTCAGCCAACTGGTCTTTGCCAACAACTTGATTGTTTATCCAGAGGGATCCCTCAGATGATGGCAGGATTTGGATGGAAGTACTTTCTGGATGATGCCGGATGTAAAGTTGTTTTGTATTTGTTCAGAGTAGCCAGAGGGGTTTCTCTTATGCCACCTGCCTTCTGAATAGCTTCCAGGTCTCAAAGCTTTGCACTAGAAATGCTTGGTGGAAGATCACTACTAGATTCCCCAAGTGTTTTGCATTTTGTGGTTCCCTTCTCTGGATTCTGCACCTCCTGTAAATGTTTATGTGCCTCTGAGAGTGATTGGCCCAAGACACAAACAAAATGTCACTCT